CTGAATCACATTGATGAGGTGGGAGCATAAAATGTCACATATGTCATTATTGGTCATGCTAAGTTCCTCACATAATATGGTGGTATCCTCCAGATCTTACCGTTGTAGGGGTTCTGCTTTTTATACACAACTAGTAAAAGTCTATGGGAGTACATTAAGACTTTGTGAAACTCCTGCTTCCAGAATCACACACCCAGTGGTTCTAGCTTTAATTGATGATCCTTACCTGACCTGATGATCCTGACTTGAATTGTAGCAAAGTGATAATCTTTCTAATTTCACCATCTTTTCAGTGTTTTAAGCTAAAATTAATCTATAGCATGGCAATAATAAACACTCAATGGTTTTTACTGGTTATTGCACTTGTGGTTATCATCCCAGATGACATCATATTAAAATAGATTACATGTTTATTTACAAAAGTTCTATGAACAGATACTCTGGAAATTTCAAGTGTCAACAGAGACTTCCATTTTAAACCATAATCTACATAATCTAAATACAAGATGTGTGAAATTTGAAGTGATGGGGACAGACAAGGGCATCGAAACTTGATGATCTGGAAAACACATTCAGAGGGTTGCACACAAGTATCCAAGATGTAAGACTTCAAATGTGATTGGAAAGCTCTTTAGCAAGCTTCCACTACTGGCCTTTAGCTCATCCATGTAAATTACTGTGTCTGGCTGGACCTAAGTTCCCTCACCTATAGATCAATGATATGGGGCTATGTGATGTCCACTACTTCTTCTCACTTCTGGACTTCTTTATGAATCAGATTATCTGTTTTTTTACTTCCAGGGCACAATCGTAATAACATTACTCACTTCTGTGCTGCACGATGACAAAGAATTCCCTAATCCCAAGATCTTTGACCCTGGCCACTTTCTGGATGAGAATGGCAACTTTAAGAAAAGTGACTACTTCATGCCTTTCTCAGCAGGTAATAGAATCTCCTTTCCATTTGCATTTGAAGGAAAGAGAGAACTTTTTGGAATCAGTTGGAATTTGCATGGCACCCCATCTGGGGCTGGTAGAATTGCTATTTGTCCATGATCAAGAGCACCACTCTCAATACCCATGCGCTCCACCCTCACAATATACCCTCATTGTTGGGCCAGATAGTGGGGCTTCCAGGAGTTAACCCTATTGTTCCCAACTGAGAAAACTAGCATCTAAGTTGACTGAACTCTGCCACTAGATACATCACTAAGGCACCCAAGAGCTCCTCCTGGAAAGTAAAATTCCCCTGATCTGTCCTTACCTGCCTTGGTGAATGTATCTGAGTCCACAACTGCATTGAGTGTGTTCTACAGGGTGTCTGTCACCTCCCAGGCTGAGCTCCAAGGGCACAACTTTCAGTGAGAACAGAGGCTCACTCCTGAGTTAGGGAAGAAGAGTAAACAGGTCGTTGTAATTTAGTCAGACCAGGACAGTGAGAGAGGAATGCACGGGCCCCTGGGTAGGGGCTAGAGGGGGAATCTGCATGCTTCTTGCTCTCTCATACAACACAGTGAGGCATAAAATGGAGTAAGAAACTCAGAGGACGTTTGATGTGCTTCAAAGGAGGTGGTACAATTTAAGGGAAAGCTGGGCATTTTGAAGGAGATAATGAATTACAGAGCAGGACATTTGCTGGAGATCAAGGATGTCAGAACCTTTGCCAAAAAATTATGGGGTTCTGGAAACATTGGCAAGGGAGTAGGTTACTTTGCAGTGATTCTATAGCACCCTGTTTTCCTCCAATCATGATCATATATCCTGGATACTTGATTTTCACACCTGTGCTTTGTGTGCTAAGTCTCTGGCCATGGAATCTCCTTCCTTTACTCTTTGATCTTTTATGTCTGCTTTATATTTGGCACTGTAGATACCAAGATGACAAAGACAGAGACCTTCCTTCAATAATTCACATTTTAGTACAATAGATAAATAAATATAGAATTATGATTCCTGGTGATCCATGCTTTAATGAAAACATGAGTATGATGTTGAGGAAAACCAGAGAGCATAGGATTTTATTACTTGAGGGAATTGTAAAGAGTGTGAAGATGAAGAAAATTGAAACTATGTCCTGAATGTAGCCTAATAAAGATGTATCTTAGCCAAAACGAACAACAGGATATGAAACTTGAAACTTCTTGGTGTGTTCAAGATTGATGAAGAGTGTATATGACTAGAGTTGAGAACAGATTATGTGAAAAGTGGAAGGAAAGATCATGGAATATCAGGCTCGGAACAGGAAACAAGAATGTGCATGTATTTATATAATGACAGATGGAAACTCAAAATGGCAACAGAGTTGTTTTAATGTGGAAATAAATAATGAAGCAACTGTTATGGCGCTGATAATCAATTAATATTTGCTGAATGAAGGGTGCCTATTGAGATTAGATGTTAGACAGATAGCAAATGTGTCTCTTTTTGTACATTTGTTTGTCCTACCATACATTAATCCATCCATCATTTCGTTCATCCATTCATCCACATGTTCATTCATCTATCCAATCATTAATCAATTATTTACTGCGTATTCTGTTTGTGCAAGTCATAAACGTACTGTCACAGTCACAGTTAAACACAAGGAGTAACTACTTTCTTTGTTATCTTCAGGAAAACGAATTTGTGCAGGAGAGGGACTTGCCCGCATGGAGTTATTTTTATTTCTAACCACAATTTTACAGAACTTTAACCTGATATCTGTTGCTGATTTAAAGAACCTCAATACTACTTCAGCTACCAGAGGGATTATTTCTCTGCCACCCTCGTACAGGATCTGCTTCATTCCTGTCTGAAGAATGCTAGCCCATTTGGCTGCCATCTGCTATCACCTGAAACTTTTTTATCAGCGACATTCCCACTGTTATGTCTTCTCTGACCTCTCATCACATCTTCCCATGCACTCAATATCCCATGAGCATCTAACCTCCATTAAGGAGAGTTGTTCAGGTCACTGCACAAGTATATCTGTAATTATCCATACTCGTAACACTTATATTGACTGTCACATATGCTAATACTTTTCTGATGCTGACTTTTTAATATGTTATCACTGTAAAACACAGAGAAGTGATTAACGAATGGTAATTTAGATCCATTTCTTTTGTGAATGTGCTAAATAAAAAGTGTTATTAGTTGCTGGTTCAGTTCTCAGACTTTCCCTCTTTTGTGCATAATGCAAGAAATAAAAAAAAGAGAGTGCCAGGAGGTCAGGCTTGTCCTCATAATAATAAGCAGAGAGAGTAACAAAGGAGAAGAGGGTGAGGAAGGTCTCTGGATGTTTGCCATCTAGAGTTACTGAAAGTTTGGCTTTATAACAGAAAAAGTCTGCCCAAGGGAAGAAATAACCTTCAGGGAAATATTGAGAGAATCAGTTCAGTTGTGTATTATTTGCAGATAAAATGAGGCTAATTACTTCAGGGCCACAGAATCAATTTACCGGTGCATTTATGTTAAGTGTAAAACAAGAAATAGAAATTAGAAAAATAATGTAATCTGTTGAGACTTTCCAAGGATTTTGTTCTTGTTTGGAGAGAGAAGATTAAAACCCAGAACATATGGTTAGCAATATGAAAGTATATATTCATACTTGACTCTAAGTTGAAAACATAAAGCGAAAAAATATTCAAATTTTATTTATTTAGTGTTCACAATGATACCAAAACAGAGGCATGAATTTAGACACTTAATCTCCATTTCTTCACTGACCCACTCATCTTTAACCCCATAGGTGAAAAAATTGAGCAGGGACATGAGGGCACTCAAGCACAAAGCCTCTGTAAACAGTCAGAACCACTACAGCAGGTTCAGTGGTCCTCTTATCGGAATAAGGTTACTGAAATCAGTCTCTTGTCCAACGAAAGCTGTAGCTATGGCTTGTGGAACAGTGGGTCGAGGTGGGCAACTGGTGGAGGCCAGTGCTTGCATAGTTGCTACAGAAAAATTAAAATCTTGAGCCAGTTAGAACACAGTTTATTCTTTAAGTGTAGGGGTGAATGACCTAACTCTCGCCGGCCATGACCTTAGGTCCTATTTATAAGTTGGTATCTTATTGCCACAAAGAGTCCACCCCATCAGTCTCATGGTCTCTATTTTAACGCTAATGTTGATGAGTTATTTTGTGTTAACCACAAAAGGGAGGGAGTCTAAAGAGACATGTCTGATCTCCCATCCTCTCACAGCTGGGAATACAGTTTTTAAGGTTTTTGCTGGGGTTCCGGTGTCCAAGCAGGCTTGGGATTTATTTTTAGTTTACAATAATACAAAATTTCAAAGAATCTACCCACAGAATACATCTAAGTTACATAGTTGAGAAGAACATAGTTACAATGGAGAAGAGAGCCACACACAATCTGAACCTAGTAATCAAATGACATCATTCTAATGAAACACATTGAAATTGTCTATCACTCAAAAATGAAAAGTATCCTCTGTGATATTCCTGGCAGAGATTCATCTGCTCAATTTAATCATTAAAAAACATTAGACAGGCCTAAATTGAGGGACATTTTATAAATATTCAGCCTATACTCTCAAAGAGTGGCAATGTCTTGGAAGTCAAGTAATGACTGAAGAACTGCTCCACACTGAAGTAGATGAAAGAGATGTGACACCTAGTTGTGGCATGCGATTCTGGATTCTGAACTAAATTATGAGAGGGACAAAAAGCATATATTTTAGGACTTTTGGTAAAACACTAACAAGAACAAGAATTAGAAAGTTCCAATGCATTAATATTGATTTTCTGATCCTAATGGTTTTACTATAGTTATATAAGAGAAGCACATTGTTTTGAGTAAATACATACTAAAATACTTCAACTATCTGGAATCAGGTCAGTATTTACTTTCAAAAGGTTCCGTGTAAAACAGTTATTTATAAGAACAAGCAGTTCTTCTATATACCTGTGATTGTTTTAAAAACAAATAAAGCCAACTGTGTGCTTATATATGCAAAATAAACTAGGCTTTCACAAA